TTTCTACCAGTCCTTCATCACCTTAAACGAAATTGGGTGAATAAATCTCATACTACTGATTTACTGGTAGTCTCGAAACAATACTTAAATGCGAAAAATAGAATAATGTAGTCGATTGTTATAGCAAAAATACATTTGCTTCATCGACAATCCCATCTGGACGAGAACAACGTCTGGGAAATTAAATGGAAACGTCAGCTCTACTCATATCATTTTGGGAAAATTCTTCTACCAGTCCTTCATCACCTTAATGGAAATTGGGTAAATACATCTCATACTACTGATTTACTGGTAATCTCGAAACAATACTTAAATGCGAAAAATAGAATAATGTAGTCGATTGTTATAGCAAAAATACATTTGCTTCATCGACAATCCCATCTTGATGAGAACAACTTTTGGGAAATTCAATGAAAGCGTCAGCTCTACTCATATCATTTTGGGAAAATTCTTCTACCAGTCCTTCATCACCTTAAACGAAATTGGGTGAATACATCTCATACTACTGATTTACTGGTCCTTGAAACAATACTTAAATGTGAAAAATAGAATAATGTTGTCGACTTTTATAGCAAAAATACGTTTGCTTCATCGACAATCCCATCTGGACGAGAACAACTTTTGGGAAATTAAATAAAAACGTCAGCTCTACTCATATCATTTTGGGAAAATTATTCTACCAGTCCTTCATCACCTTAAGCGAAATTGGGTAAATACATCTCATACTACTGATTTACTGGTAGCCTCGAAACAATACTTAAATGCGAAATATAGAATAATGTTGTCGACTTTTATAGCAAAAATACGTTTGCTTCGTCGACAATCCCATCTGGACGAGAACAACTATTGGGAAATTAAATGGAAATTTCGGCTCTACTCATATCATTGTGGAAAAATTCTACTACCAGTCCTTCATCAGCTTAGACAAAATATGGTGAATACATCTCATTACACTGATTTACTGGTAGCCTCGAAACAATACTTAAATGCGAAAAATAAGTGAAATGAGTTTGCGATTCGATTTGTGGCGTTTGGATGGGCTCAAGGGTAGGGAGAGAGGGAGACAGCTGATCAAGAGGAGGTTAGGGTAGCCTCGAGTCTGGTTAAGGCTATCAAACCTCTCATTACTTCAGCAGTCCATTCATATCATGCATATTACGCGTAGCCAAACATGCGTCTACATCAGAGACTCGTACTCTGGTGTAGCTATGTAAAGAAACTGCCACGACACCCACTCCTTGTTCATGCATCAACCCCACCCATTTGCAAGTGTGTACAACCAGTATGAAGCAACCAACTAAATCCGGTAATCGAAGATATGAAGACCAAGATGGTGTGGCCTTCAGCTGACTTTACTTTCGCTGCCTGGTCTTGTTGTCAGGGCGACTGAGTTGGACGCACCTTGTTCGACGTCTGAGAATGTACCAAGCCCACGGTCTGACGCCAGTCGACCTGACAGCAAGTCCGAATTGCGAAAACGAGGTCAACCCACTTATAATGCATGTAATGCCTCATTAAATTCGCAAAATTAGGTATTATAAGTGAGAAGGCCTGCAGCCGGTCTCATTTCTTCTTAATTTAGCATATTGGTGCGCTTTTTCATGAATTATTGTTACCACACTCCGACGATGTCTGTCACGGTGTCGCAGACGATTGCCTGGCACAGGTTATCGGGATCGCAGGATGGTGAGCCGAGGACTTATTCGCACAATCCAACATTCTTTAACCCATGACAGCCAATCCTCCTTCGGGTTTCGGTGATACCGATTCGCAAGTTTTCTTCCCAGTAACTTTTCTTTCGAAATGAAAAGTCAACTAACCCTAAATTTCCCTCTTTTCTTAAACACACTCGGAAATTGATATATCTATCTCTCTCTCTATCTGTTTGTCTGTATGTCTGCCAGTCTATCTATCTTGCTAGCTAGCTATATTTACATGTATGTATGCATGTATGTATGTATGTATGTATGTATGTATGTATGTATGTATGTATGTATGTATGTA